TTGCAGGCTTGAACGAGCAATAATCCGACTGGCAGCCAAATTAGTTTTTAGTTTTGCCTTGCATACACCTATTCGACAGAACCAACAAGTATCGGAATTCCTTCTGCCGAATGTGTACGAGTACCCCTCGTGCAGCATCATGGCTCTCTCTGTTGCGATCACCTCCATCCTTCTGCATGTAGTTCAAAAATAGTCGCTCTTCTATGGCCTCCGCATTCACCGTTCAGGACGGACCCAGATAGCTAGAACGTCTGTTACAGATTCTTTGACCTCGAGAAGCGAAAGACATGCTAAGATAAGAGGTGACCGACTTTCTGAGGCCCAACCAACATTCAATGTTCGGGACCGAATCAGAAGCTAAAACGTTCCTTACAAATTCTTCGCCTTTGTCCGCCCGAACCAAATTGAACAATACATTTTTGGGGGGACGAACTATTGTGAGACCGGTTGGCCGCGTGACGAGTCATCCTATGACGAATGTTCCTGTGTGACGAATCGTCCTGTGACGAGTGTGCATGTGACGAATGGACCGTATCCCATCCTTTGCACACTCATTACTTCTATAACACTGAGCCACCTCGTATCCTTTTGTTTTTCTTTCATGGTACTAATTTCTTTCTGCGCATTACGGCTGTTACGACGCTAAGTCTGTCTGCCCTTCGAATTTAAACTTAGGCTCAGATCAGGGACGAACCAGTTTAAATCAGGAAAATATAATTAACACTGTAGCAAAGTAAATCTATCATATCGATCGGAAATACGATTTGGCACATTCCATCTGAACACATATTGTGCACAGCGAATGCAATAGCGAGTCAGCGTGCAAAACGCCGCCACACTGAGCTACCATAACATCTCAGCGATTTTTGCATAGCACCGAGCACGGAAAAGAGAAAACAGTTATTCATTCACATAAACGAAGCAAATTTATTTAAAGCCCGGACACTTCGTACGTCCAATCTAGCTAAGGTTATCAATAGACTCGACCATGTCATTTGTCGAAACAGATAAAAGACGTTGGCAAAAATGATTAGACTGAATAAGTCAATCTAACGCACGTATTTTACCAACCGACGGTCGCGCGCCTTCAATACCCTTTCCAATTGTCATTGCGCACCTTGGACACACTTTGGGAAGCAATGCATATTTACATCGCCGCCCGAGGTCTCCATTAAACGTGTAGTGCTGACCCAAATAAAATGCTAACCTGACTCTCAATCGCTCACCGCAAAGGACGACTTCGAACAGGCGGTACTGTAGGTCACTTGAGATAAAAAAAAAAAAAAGAAAAACAAGCTATAGAAACGAGCGTCGTAAAAAAGGGGACCGGCATTTTTATTCCTACCTCCGAACAGAAACGAGCGCCACCCACTGCATCACACAGCACAGAGGCCGGACTCGGTCACCGCGCGTACATACCAAGCGCGCGCGAGGGATGCAGAAACTTCCTCCGCCGGGAGAACACGGCAGATTTCGGGATCTATTTCACGCAGCGGATAACGCGGGCCTTTTCACACCTCGATACTGGCGCCATCTAGAAGTTGCGCGTTCAACCACGTTTCGAGCCGCGCGCCATCTGGTGGCTGAAACGGACGAATAAATAGAGGTACCGCGCCCTCTTAAGTTTGGGGCGCTCTGTACTATAAATACAACGTACTTTTAAAGTAAAGTACAAATATTCTTTTAAAACAATCTTTCATTATGCCCTTTCATACCCTAATTTTTTAACCCAGGGGTAATCAAAGGAACAACAGTTTATTTTCGCAAATGGCGGCAAATATTGGGCAAAGTCAAGTCGCCACTGAATTGTTGTTTTACTCGCGCTGACGAACTATTTTACACGCTACACTTATAAGGCACTTATTTGAATTGGTCTTATAGCCGCCATTACTTCACTGAGAAAAAAATTACCAGATGACTCTCGAAAGGCGATAGCGCGTTTTCACATGACGATATGCCATTTTTTGTTTCCAAATTTGGAGAATGTACTTTAAAGTCGCAATTTCTGGCAATTTCTTCAGAAATTGCCAGAAAGAAATACTTTATTAAAGTGCAAGTACACACTCAGAAAATGTACTTCAAGTAAAGTACAAGTTTTGTAATCCTACATGAAACAGTACTTTTAGTACCATGTTCTTCAAATAATTCCCAACTCCACTTTTTTTTTAACGTTGGGAGATTTATTAAGCTTTTAGATAAACTTTGCGTTGCCCTTTAGCACGCGATCCGTCAAGTGAAACACGAGCTACGGGAGCACAGGAAGGTGTTAGAGCGGGTGCTGCATTTAGTTGACTTTCTTGAGAGAGGCTGAATTGTGTACACCTCCTGTAGTGATCAAGAGTTCCTACATTTGGGAGAAGTGCAGAGAAACCCTTTCTTTAAATACGTCGTCTCCTTGAGCTTCGGGACACAAAAGAAATGGCAGTTTTCGGCGCTAATCCCGCATTTACTGGGCCTGACTTGCGACGTGTCTATCCGCTCTCTGCGCCTGGTATCAGGGTTGTTGCAGTGGGGTGTTCGTGAACATTTTAGAGGGTTTCGGACTCTGCAAACCACCCCCCCTGCCTACGCCACATGCGCCCCCCTCTTTGCAAATATCAGCTGATCCTCCAACATCTTAGTTAATTTTGTGCAGAAATGTTTGTTGACCAACAAACCTACCACTAATATTCAAAAGTAATTGTAATTCGAGTAGAAGTTACTAAAAAAAAAGTAATTAAAGTAAACTACTAGTTACAAAAATAAAAATGTAATTAAAAGTTACAAAACTACTCAGTAGTTAAACTACGTACAAGTCTGGTATTTTCACATCAAGTACGCTTTGACATCGTTCATAAACTGTGTTTGTGAAGTGGCGTGGACAACGTGTTCGGGCAAACTGTTCCATTGCTGAACTGGTAGTGGAAAAAATGAAAATTTAGAGCAATTATTTTTAGGTTAAAAATCCTCAAATGATTTCCAATGGCTTGAACGGGTTGCTCTTCTATCACGGGGAATAAGGTAGTTTAATGTTTCTATAGTAGTCAAGTTATTGGGTTTTTGATAAATTATTTTTAATCTCGTGAGCTTAGGTTTTCTTTTAATGTTATCTGACCCGCCACTTTATTTTTTTTTTAGAGTCAAGATTAAAAAGAAGACAGAGTATGCCATCCTCAGAAATTGTGATGCTCCTTACGGTATCTTGCAATTGTCTATTCATGAAGGGTGGCACAACGCCATTGTCCGGTGTAAAGACTGAAAGGAAGTAGTCATTGAAGTTCTTAGCCTTGTCCGGGTTGCTGACGATTGCTGTATTGTTACTTACGTTTGCGCGAGGATTTATGTGCCTGAATAACTTATCTGGTGATGTTCTGATAAAGGAATAAAGAGTTTTGTTGCAAAACTTCTTTTTGGCACACTTTCTTTTAGTCCCAAGTTATCTAGTTAAGTACGTGGTTTGTTCTTTCTTCGATGCTCTTTTCCTAATCACTTTTTTTAGAGTTTGTTAATTTTTCGCTTCGTATGAATAATTTCACGCGTTATCCAAGGATTTCGCTTAGCGGTTCTTTTGATTTCAGTTGAAATATGGGTGTTCATACCATAAAAAATCATTGAGTCAAAGGAATTCCAACGGTCATTTATAGAACTATCTTATTGCAAGAAAAGTTCATACAAAGGCTCGAACGGAATATCCATAGAATCCATAATGGCCACAGGATTAGCACGATTCAAGTCTAAAACTTGATAACATTGCTGGTATTTTTGGGCACCGTATCTAGTATAAGCAAGGCTACCCCAATGTCGTGGTCAGATATCCTGTCAACGATGTTCACGTCTAGCTGTTTTAGAAAGAAGTCGCTCACGAGTATCAGGTCCAGGACACTCTGCCAGGAAGCCTGTGAACTTGTGAAGTCCTACACAATCTGGGTCAACTGACAACTAAAGCAAATATCGCACATAGGATTTGTTCCGTCTAGGCATGCTAATTGGTCTTGAGGTTCGGGCTAAGCAATTTCAGGCATGTTGAAATCTCCCTCCATTATTATTTCATCATGTGGTTGAACGTTCAATTGCATGTACGTATCCAAAATGTAAAAGTAAAGAAAAAATAAAGATTCGTTGGGAGACCGGTAAGCAGCACCAACGTGCAGGGTAAAATCATTAAACAAAAGTTTGCACCATAATGACTCAATGCCTGTTACGCCCGGTCTAGGCGTGGCTTTAAAACATGTTTGTTCAAGATAGCTACCCCACTGCCGCGTGACTGTCAATCTTTTCTCATTACAGAGTAGTTTGGTATTTCAACATTGTTATCTTCAATACGCGGTAAAAGCCAGGTTTCCGTCACTATCATAATGTCTGGATCGTGAGTCATTGTTACGGCCTCATGCTTTTTCAATTTATTCGACCGGCTACTTGCGTTAACGTTTAGCACTTCTATTGCAGACTTTTTTAGTAACAACTTTTGGACGTCGTCATTCTTGTTTACTACTTCCAGGCAGGGAAGTGATGTCGTTCTTGTTTTTATCCCATGCGTACAGGTTATCCTTTATTTTCACTTTATCGAAACGTAAAGTGACCTTATCTCCGGACGTTTTGTTTGGTTTCGTTCGCTCGAGCAGCTTTTTCCTGACTTCTTCTACTGCAGTTTAAACGTCCCATTCGTTCTGAACGCTTCGGAATGGCGGGGCATAGACGCGGACATTGGTGGCCCAGTGGGTGTTCCTGATCGGCCCGCCTCGCCAGCAAAACATCCCCCGTAAGGTCTGTATCCAACACCTTTCAAGCTTACTTCGTAGGAAAACGCCGGCGTCGTGCATTGTCTAGAAACAGATCAAGCTGACGAGCAATCGAGCAAGTTGGGCTCGTCGCAGCAAAGTGAACACGCCCAACTTATCGTTCGCATTCTTTCTCTGCTCTTCCTTTGCTCTCGTTTTTTTTTTTGTCTTGAGACCGCAGACGTCGGAACCCGCGACTCTAGCCCCTACACGAGGTGTTTAAGTGAGGGGGGTCCCACCCACCGACGGTGGTGAAGACGGTGCAGTCCATGGAGAGGGCGATTGAGATGGCGGCCTGGCCGACGCCCCCGCTGCCCGAGTGCACCAGCAGGGCCTCCCTCGGACGCATGGCGCCCCGCACCAGCAGGGCGTAGTAGGCCGTCGAGTAGGCCACGGGCACCGTCGCCGCCTCCTCCAGGCTCCAGTTTGCCGGCACCCCCCACAGGAAGCCCGGGTCGGCCGCCACGACGGTTGCCATGCCCTCGGCCGCCACCGAGCCCATCACCCGGCGCCCCGAGGGGTCCCGCCCGGAAAACTCCAGGCCCAGCACGCAGTTCGACGTCGCCAGGTTGCCTGCACCCCGAGACGCAAAGAGCGACCCCTCTCGTTGGTCGACAGGAGGAGGGGAGAATGCGCAACCGGCAGAGCCGAGACGGTTGCTCTTTAACCCTTCGACTGTCGAGTTTTTCCCAGAAGGTGCTTCCGAGACGTTGGGTTTTGTTTTTGAAAGGAAGGTGAATGCGCGGGTGTTCTTAATTATTTAGCGGGACCGCATACTGTGCATCCAGGCTGTTCACGTTTAGAAACATCGAATGAAAATATTGAAGGCAAAACGTTGTCACTTTTTACAGCGGAGCTGTTGAGGGCTAGTTTTCCCAGTTTCGTGTCCGTCACCAAATAAATGTTGACACAAAACTTTGGAGAGCTACCACCATCCATGAGCGACGGCGGCAACCAGACAACCAGATTGTCGGTTGTCTGGTTGCCGTGTCGCTCACAGATTGCGGCAACCTTTACAGCTTTTCAGAGTAGGCTGAATTTCTCTAGGCTTCCTTTCTCCATATAACCATCTATTTTCTTTTTCTTCTAGGCTTCCTCCTAGAAGTCGTCCTTGAGGTCGTCCTAGACGTCATCCTTGAGTTGGTCCTTAAGGTCGTCCGGCAGAGAGAGAGAGAGAAAAAACTTTTAATAACCAATTGGTTTGGCTCTTCCGAGGCGAGAGGAGCCCTCATTCCAGGGCCCCTGTAGCTGTCGCTGCGGCACGGGCCCGCGAGACCCGATTACGCTGGTCGTCCGGATCCCAGCTGGACAGCGCAGCTTCCCACTGCTCGGCGTTTGGGTTGGGAACTGGGGGAGCAGCCTGAATCTTAGGGCATGCCCACGTGATGTGATATAATGAAGCCTTTTCGGTGCACAGGGGACATTTGTTTGTGGGGTATACTGTAGGGTACATGGCATGTAAGAGGCTGAGGTGGGGGAAAGTATTTGTTTGCAACATGCGCCAACCTACACCGTCCTCCCTCGTTAGAGATTTGTGCGGCGGAGGAAGGGTGCGGCGACTCAATCGGAGATGTTGAAGGATGTCACGATAGGTAAGGGGGATCGGGATGGGGACCAGGGATGGGTCTTCCTGCGGTGGCGGGGCCCGGAGAGTTAAAGCTCGGGCTGACGCGTGTGCGCGTTCGTTCCCGCTCACGGAATTATGCCCCGGCGTCCATATCAAGGATACTGTAGGGAGTTGTTAAGGGGGGTGATTAGTTAAAATTCGATGAGCAAATCTGGAGAGGCGACCGTTGACAAAACTACGGCAAGCCGCCTGCGAGTCAGTAATTATTGAAAGAGATGTGTTGTCCTCGAGGTCGTCTTAGAAGTCGTCCTTGAGGTCATCCTGGACGTTGTCCTCAAAGTCGTCCTTGAGATCGTTCTAGACGTCGTCTTTAAAATCGTCCTAGACGTCGTCCCTGAGGTCGTCCTGAGGTTGCCCTAGATATTGTCCCTGAGGTCGTCTGAGGCGTCGTCCTCAAGGTCGTCCTAGAAGTCGTCCTTGAGATCGTCCAAGAAGTCGTCCTTGAGGTTGTCCCACCATAGTACAGCTTTGCTGGTCTTCCTTCACCATAGTGGAAAGGCTAAAAGTCCTTTTTTTTCTGTTCAGTCTTATTTTGGTGCATCCCTTAACGCAACATTCCGGCGGTTTCGGATTTAGAACCGAAGGTACTTCAGAGCTTCTCCGTGGTAGAGTAATAGGGAGTATTCACTGGACGCCATATTCATGGGTGCTGTTTAGAGCACATGCTCAGAACGAGCTCACATCAATAGGCTGCTAAGACCGGCACTTTTGATGGTGCGGAATGCACGTCGCAAAAGAACTGTGGAAGCTCGCCATCAGCACGCGCTCAGCATTCGCGCACACAGCTATGGCCGCCAGTGAATACTCCCTATACCCGTGCCACACGGGCAACTCGAATGCCATTTACAACGAATGACATTTGAGCGAATGGCCAAGCAGCGCGCGACACTCTGGACGTGGCGCATTCCACGCGCGACAGATTGCGAGTTGATTCGCCGATCACACAAATGTGATTCGTTGTAAATGGAATCGAGTTGCCTGTGTGGCACGGGCATAAGCTTTGATCCTCTGAGTCCAACTCTGAAAGGCGTTAAAAGTCTGAATTAGAACACCCAGCGCTCTGATTGCAACTACCGCCAGAGCACCTGACACGTGAAATTCGCGAAGCACGAAGCCCAGGAAAATAAAGTCGTTTACAGTAGTATCCTATTCCTCAGATGGCGATAGTGATCAAAGTGGACAAACTGAATTTCGGGAAGGATATATTTATGTCCGTCACTGCGGGAGCCAACGATCTCGCAAAAAGGACTAAGGCCGACGTGCACTCACTGGGGAGGGCGTCAGGGGGCAGCCTGCCCGTGGCCAGCATGATGTCGTGGAAGTTGAGGGGCGCGTAGTAGACGCTGCACAGTACCCGGTCGTCCGAGGCCGGCCGATATTGCAGGGGACTCTCGTACCACTGCAGGCTCGACAAGTCACCCACGCTCTGCATGTCGAGGTACGCTTGCTCCGTCCACAGCCGGGGGGCTTGGCCTGCGGGCCGAGAGTAAGCCGTCGAGACGGGGTCCACTCTCGATAGGGATAGTATATATTGCACTTCTTTCAAGGTGCGCTCGGCATGCAAGTGAGAGGGCAAATTCATCGCGCCCATACTGGAGAGTCTAGATTACGGAGAGTTTCCAACTGCTCAATCAGGGTCGCGTGGTTTACGGACCGCATTTCAATATGAGCGTCGAGGCGGTTACCAGAGCGTCGATCGACGGCAAACGTTTCCGCCTACTTTCCTCTTCGCCACGTGCACTGCATGCGCACTTGGCATTAGGAGGCATTCGCCATCAAATTGGAAACGCTCCCCATGGCGTGAGATGAACCTTCTCTTCAATCTAGGCTCTCCAGCCTATACGCGACAAGTGCCCCTGGCAACCGGGTGCCACCTAGAGAAGTTACGAAAAAAACAAAAAACAAACAAACAAACAAACACAAATACGTGCACCTGCTTACACTAATATTCGGATGAAGGCAACACAGAGCCCAAGGACGTCATCTCTGTCACGAGCTACTGTGTCTGTTAACTCGAGCCAGAGAACGGATCCCGAACCGTTCGCGAACCGTTCGCGAATTGCGAACCGCTCGCGAACCGTTCGCGCAAGACATGAGACTCTGGCGCCGAAACCAATCCCCGTGGAGTCGGCCCCTGATGTTACTGTTCTTGACGTAGAGCTTGACGCCCAAGTGCCCTCGTAACGACCCATCTAGTCCCTTACCGTGCGACGTCGCTACGACGGTCGGTCATCCGTTCGGGGACGAGTTACGTTTGCTTACGCGGCTGCAGCCGATGGCTGTCTTGTCGTTCTGTTGTGCGGGTTTGAACTGCGACCGTTTGTATTTTACACCCTACGCCGAGAGACAGCGCTGTCTCGCACCGTCACTGCAGTCATCGACAAAATGAGAACGGCAGGGAGAGGCTTCTCTTGCTACGCCTACAGCTTACAGCGCGAGCTCCCTGCCTCCGACGATGCTCCAACGTCTCGTGAACCCCGAGCTTGCGCGTGCATGGCAGAGCACGGCGGAAGGCACGGATCGAGTGCTGGAGTCCGGGTGTTCAAAAGACGCGCCCTGCCGTTCTTATTCTACCGGCGCCTAAAGCTATTCAGATGCCGCGTCGCCGGCTACCTAATGGGGTATCCACACGAAGGAGAAATCCGCTCCTTTCATCCGCGGAGCGCGCATCACGTGAGACATACGTCATCCCTTTTCGACGCCTCGCGGCGCCTTTCTCCCGTTCTCCTCCGTGGCGGAGGCGCGGAGGCTTCGTACTCTTAGCATGAGGGCTCCGCAGGTGCACGCGGCAGAGCCGGGGACGGAGTTTCCCGGGTTGTTGACGTCACGACATCCGTCCGCGGAGTTCTCCTCCGTGTGGATATCCCTTAACCGCCGCTTGCTATGTTTTGTTGGTTAACTCTTTTTTAGAGCGCAGCTCTTAGGCGCCCGTTTCCGGCTTGAGCGGCGTCGCCGTCGGCGTAACCGCGCGGTGCATTATGGGTAAATTTTCCCGAAGGAACCCGAGGCCCTCCCGAGGTCCTCCCGAAGGAACCCGAGGTCCTTCGGGAGGACCTCGGGTTCCTTCGGGAGGACCTCGGGTTCCTTCGGGAGGACCTCGGAAGGACCTCGGGTTCCTTCGAAAGGACCTCGGAAGGACCTCGGGTTCGTTCGGGAGGACCTCGGAAGGACCTCGGGTTCCTTCGGGAGGGCCTCGGGAAGACCTCGGGCTCCTTCGGGAGGACCTCGGGTTCCTTCGGGAGGACCTAGGGGGGGGGGGGGGGTCACGTGACGATGATGTCATCAGTGATGATGACGATGACGATTTGGATGCCGATTACGTCATCAGTGACGTCACTGATGACGTCATCTGTGACGATGACGATGGCGATGCGGATGCCAATGACTTCATCGGCATCCGCATCGTCATCGTCATCATCACTGATGACGTCATCGTCACGTGACCCCCCAGGACCTCGGGTTCCTTCGGGAGGACCTCGGAAGCACCTCGGGTTTCTTCGGGAGGACTTCGGAAGGACCTCGGGTTCCTTCGGGAGGACCTCGGGAGGACCTCGGGTTCCTTCGGGAGGACCTAGGGGGGGGGATCACGTGACCTGGGGGGTCACGTGACGATGACGTCATCAGTGATGATGACAATGACGATGCCGATGACGTCATCAGTGACGTCACTGATGACGTCATCAGTCATGATGACGATGGCGATGCGGATGCCAATGACGTAATCGGCATCCGCATCGTCATCGTCATCATCATTGATGACGTCATCGTCACGTGACCCCCAGGTCACGTGACCCCTCCCCCCAAGGTCACGTGATCTCCCAGGTCACGTGACCCCCGAGGTCACGTGACCCCCCCTCCCGAGGTCAACTGATCCCCCCAGTACCCTTCCCTCCTCCTCCTCAAGAGCTGCGCTCAAATTCGGTGTTACAGGGAGTTGTAAACGGCTTTCATTTTTTTTTCATTTGATTTTCGCGGGCTAATCGGGTTAGCGGAGGGAATGGCAACTGTCTTTGTCGTTCCTTGACAAGCTGGAAATGGTTCCTTGGCGCAGAGTTGGTTTTAGCGATAATCGAACTTCTGCATCCGATCATGGGGCGTTCGTGGCTGGAGAGGCGTCGGCGTTCACGTGCAAGCCGTGATCCTCGCTGCGGCTCGGCTGCTTTGCGCGGCTCTCTTCTTCGTCTTTGTACGGTTCCACTGGTTTTGTTCGACCTCTGGCTTCACGGCAGCGAAAGCAGATTTTTTTCAAGGACACGATTGCCATACTGCCGATTGTGGATCTAAACCCAGACGAAAAAGCTTCGCGGTCAGCTAAAATGGTAAGATGTTTTCTTTTCGCACGCGCCTGTGTGCTCTGATCCTGTAAACGTCCTCGCAGAATAAACAGTTGAAGAGCTTCTTTTTGGTTCCATCTGTTAGCCCGCATAGAATGTTATCGGTTTTTTGCGGGTCATAGATGTTTTGCGCGCTCCGCTCATGACTGCATTAAAGCATGTTCAGCGTAGTGTCAAGGAAATAATTGTTCATTACGAAGCCCCCGCCTCAAAATTTGCGGTAGGCCCGGTTTTGATATAGCGAAATATGAGATATACCGAACTAAAATGCGTGTCCGACGGAGTTCGTTGTAAACGGGTCGAGTAAGAACAAGCACATCAGAGGCAGCAAGATCTTCTCTCGCTATTTTATCTGCTGATGAAACGTTTTTACCAAAAATATGTGCCTGTTTGTGACCTCGCGCTAGGTTTAAAATTTTAATGTTGGTTGATTACTCGCAAGCTGTGGCGCCACATCCAATATAGAGGCCGAGAAGGCTCTCGTTGACTATAATCAAAATTGGACCCCAGGGAGCACTAATCCCTTGGGTAGAAAGGCTGCATGAAGCACCACTCACGTGACTGCGTCACGGTGTGCCTGAAGGAGCCCCACTTTCCGTCGCGGTAGACGTTCATGACCAGGTCACGATCCACGAGCTCCTTGTGCTGCGAGCTGGCCGGCTGGAAGTCGGCCACTGGGTTTGCGCCGCCTTTAAGGCTGGCATTGAAGACGCACCTGAGAGAAAGACCCCTAAAGTTAGGTAACCTACAGTTATACCCGTGCCACACGGGCAACTCGAATTCCATTTACAATGAATGACATTTGTGTGATCGGCGAATCAGCTCGCAATCTGTCGCGCGTGGAATGCGCCACGCCCGGAGTGTCGCGCGCTGATTGGTCGTCCGCTCAAATGTCATTCGTTGTAAATGGCATTCGAGTTGCCCGTGTGGCACAGGTATTAGGTATGCCAAGGTTTGGTACAGTGTTCTTAAGTACACAATATATGGTTAGGTCCAAGACAGCTCCGTCGAAGACAGCTAGGTCAGTGACGGCTAGGTCCAAAACGGTTAGGTCCAATGTAGAGGTCAAAGGCAGGTCAAAAACAGATCAGAGACAGGTTCGCGCTGGTTGGTTTATAAGACCGTTGAGTACAGAATGATTAGGTACGTTACGGTTAAGTACACTGCCGAACCGATTGTGAACGTGACATCCACTCTTTTTTGCACATTACTTGTAGAGACTAGTGTCATCTACGAAACTGTACGAGCGGTGTTTGAGAGTGATGGCAAAATTACTTTTAAAAAGTAATTATATTACATTCCTAATTACTTTTTTGAAAAGTGCAAAAATGTTATTACATTACATTACAAATTACCGCACACTAAAAGTAACGACATTACATTACAATTACTTTCCAAAAGTAATAAAATTACTTCGGCATTACTTTTGAATACCTTGAGGCAATAATTTGTGCTCATCTTTTTTGCCCTATATGCACCAAAAGTCAGACCTTCCTGTTTACGCCGCAACAGAACAGCCTGATGCGCCTCAAAGTGTCATACTGAACAGTCGTTTTGCTGGCGCACACGACTTAAGTGACAAATATAACAAATACCTTTTTTAGATGTGACTCAATGCGAGTCTACTCACTGATCTCACTGTTCGTTCAACGGCGAAGGGTGATATGTTTCCGTCTTCCTGATTTCGACAAAGTTATAGTTCGTTTCAGTCTGTTAAGTCGGGCCATGGAAGCTTGTTCTTAAGGCCTGTCCAAACGGGACACAACAAAAATTGTCAGGCGACAAGACTTCTGCAAGAATCGACAAGACTTCTGCAAGAACTGCAAGAAGCGAACGTTTCAATTTTGTCGATTTTTGCAGGAGTCGTGTCGCCGGGCGATTTCTCTGGCAAAGTCAACATCGCGACTTTTCTCCTCGCCTCGTCCACTTTTCTTACACGTCGGAGCTCGTCAGATTCGATGTCATACGCCACCTGCCACTAATGTTCTCCCGTGGCTCGCTGACCTCGCTACCGCCGTCGCCTCGACTGGAAGGCCAAAGAGGTCCGGCTTCGGTTGGATTTGGGAGATTCCTGCGTGGAAGCGTGCATTTCGCTTCGCGCAGGAAAAGGGAATGACACCTTCGTGTCATTCCCTTTCCCGTTCTCGGGACTTGAAAAATGACGGAGGCCTTGAGCGATTGACCAACACCCAACGGAGCGTGTGAGTGGCCCTCCGGACCAACGCGATGAGCAGATCAAGTCCGCCACGGAGGTCACAGGCGAGATTTAACGTAAAAAACCCTCCCGGCCGGAAGCGGAGCGCCGAACTATTTTTCGTAGCCGTGTCGCCTGACGATTTCTGTAGTGTCCTGTTTGGACAAGGAGTCGTCACGTGAAACGTTCCTCTTCCGCATCAGACGCAGTATAGTCCTATCGTTCCAAGCGCACTAGTTGACGCATTTCCGGTCATTCCTTTCAAAAAGAATTTTTTCCAAAACGCATTGTCACACAAAGGGCTGGATAATTGCTAAGCAGAAGCATCGCCAGTTGAGGAAAGGAATAAGGCGAGCTTTCTAAATTGTGTACTTTCCCAACAAACGGGTGGCGATATCAGCTTGTAGGCTTATTCCCGAAGAAACTTTCCAAGGAAAGGCAGCCAGGCATACCGCGAGAGGCACCTGCTTTGCTAGAGGACGCTCGAAACGTACTGGGGATTTGACAAGGCATTTGAAATTAAATATTTATTCCGGTCGTTTGTTGTTCACAATGGTTGAAGCTTACAGCTTGACCTTGCTTGAAGAAAGAACAAGAAGGCTGGGGATCTGCTTGTCTTGTCTTAGGTTCTAAATGTGTTGGCCTCACTGGTGATGTGCCCTTCGCCTTGTAGCCTATGAGCCGTTCATCTTTAAACTGACAGTGCGGTGGAAGCTACGTGCTCGTTGGAAGTCACACGTCTATCTTTCGCCACGTAACCGCGGACGGACGGATCCGGTAATTAAAGCGAGGTGTTTAAGTGGTTCTGGTTAGGTCGCCGCTCCCTCCGCACTGTCAGCTGAGGAATGAGCGTAGTACAGTATCGTCGAGATAACGTGACGCCGTGAATCAGTCTTGCGTGGAGCTCGTAAGCCGTGGCCTTTCAGCGATGTCTACTCGTAAGTTTTTCTCCTTCGCCCTTCCAGCCATTCTTTGAGCGTCTGTCCAGCAAGTCGTACAAGACTTTGCGTTCTGGTGGCCGTCGATTATTTCCTCTGATGCTCTTTCACAACATTTCACCATGCAAAATAATTTTTCTCCTTCTTTCTTAAAGCTTGAAAACAAATTTTCTAATTTAGGACAAAAGTAATTTCAAAAGTAATGACTATTTTTTGTCGAAATTTTTGCCGGAAATTCATTCAGTACATTACTAAATTACCAGCCTAGAGAAGAAATTCATTACATTACTCGTTACCACAAAAAGTAATGTAAATATTGTAATTTCATTACAGTAGTGACATTACTGCCATCTCGTGTGCCCCGCTTTAGCACGTTTCAAAGGTAGAAGTCTCAATGACATTTTTATGTCAGTGTAAAGGAAACCGGAGACTTCCAACCTAACTGCCAGCTTACACTATGTTTGATAAGACCACGGTTAGGTACACTTAAGCAGTCGGTGAAACTCCAAAGCTCAACCGAATCCTCTCTCGGACGTTTGCACACTGCCGGAACCGTTCGCCTCCGCAACGTAGACTGCCCACCTGATGTGGTCTCCTCCAGTTTCCTGCCTGAGGCAGTTGGTGAGACCGACGACCCCGCTGGAGCCCACGTCCTCGGCCACCAGCCAGATGTTCTCGCCCGCCGGCCTCTCCTGGTACTCGGTCGCCTTCGCTTTGATTTCTTCCACCCAGCCGAACCCGCCACTTCTGACCCGGATCACCGCCTGCTTTTCTGCACCGGCTGGTGTCGCCAGCCTCTTCCTGAACAGCAGGAGCACGGACACATTGTTGGACCGGAGGCTCACGAGCCGGAAGCCACGCTTCCCGAAGGCAGCCTCGACGATGTCTCGAGAGTGCACCCGGAGCGGCACCTTGCCCACAGTCGACAGGAACATCTCGGCGGGCGTGAGCGCGGTCCGCAGAGACAGCAGAACGAAGCCGCCCTCCCTCGACTGAGCCGCGAGCGCGTCCGTGAGCGCCTCCAGCGCCTGGCTGCCGGCTGCGGCACGGGCTACCAGGAGGTCAGCATCGGGAAGGGCGGTCCTCGACGGAGACGCCACGTCCCAGGCAACCTTCTTGGCGTCTTCCGGAACTTGCTCTTCCGTCAGGAAATTCGGCTGCGGATGTGCGATCGTCAGGTCCGTCTTGAGGAGGATGTGGGACAACGACAGGAGAGCGGATACCCGCGGCGCCAGGAGGAAAAGGCCCGCATCCGCGGCCATCTCGAGGACTTTCAGCTTCTTGACGCCGGTGTTCTCAACGACCACGTCCAGGAGGTGCCGCAGTGGGTCTTCTTCCAGGAGGGCCGTGTTGAGCAGGTCCCTCTCGAGGTCCTCCTTGTGGGCCGCCAGGACCGACTGGACCGTGGCCACCAGCGAGCCCGCCGAACTCTCGGCCTCTTTCTGGACGCTGGCCAGGACACGCAACAACCCGTGGTTCTCGGCCAGGCTCTCCAGGTACTTGTGGAGAACCTGTTCGGGCACCTCGCAAACCCCGCCTATGACGTCCGAGATCTCAGCATTGTTCTTGCCGCACGACTCGAGCACGCGGCGGGCCACGTTGCAGCAGACCTCGACATACTCGCGGACCGCGGCCTCGCGCTGGCGGCCGGCCGGCTCGTCGTCCAGGTACGGCATGAACTGGTACTCCTCGAGGAACGGCTCCTGTTGCATAGCCCGGCGGGGCGCCACGTTTGCTTCGAGGCCCTCCATGGCCACGCCGCCGGCGCGGCAGACGTTGAGGTACTTCTCGTAGACCACGTCCACTCCTGTGCGAGAAGCGTGAAAGGGGGAGGTCTTTGCTGTACACGCTAAAGGCTCTTTCACATGCTGCGATTCTCGTCCGAAATCGGTGCGATTTCCTGCAAATGTGCGAATAAAATCGCAGTCGCACTGTCGAAGCAGTTCTGCGACTGATTTTCACCTAATTTTTATTTTGTCACAGAGTCATTGCGATCGCTTTCTCGTCAACCAATAGCGAGCCTCGCGGCCGCGCGTCACGTGACACGAGACACTACGCTGTCCGAAAAGCTTCCAGCCGTTCGTTAGCCCGCTTTCATCCGCGATAGCTGCGTATTCGAAAATAAATTTAGACACCAAAAAGCTTTTGGTTTGATGGCTAACTATTAGAAATTTCTAGTGACATAATGTATTTGTAAAACCAAATACGATATAGCTTCGCCAATACTGAAAACCTTTCCGAAAACCCACGGAAGCGGTGGCGAACGTGACAGTGGCGCCTCAAGCGGACTCGAAGTTAACGGAAGCAGACGACGCAATAGAAAAGTATAGGCTCTGCGACGTCCTCGAGCTTTGCCAGCCCCGTTTCGTCACCCTAACAGCTAAAACAATCTATTACGGTCAGTCCACTTGCAAAGCAGAATACCCTGATTGCAACTCCAAAGACAAAAAAATAACGCGCGCATAAGCAAAGATACAGCAGTTTATATAGCGGTCTCTAACGCCTCTCAGAGGATCACACCTGTCTGAAGCGCGTCTGGGAAGCGGAACAAAGGTGTTTAGCTACTCGAACTACGTCGAAAGAGGTCACTGTTGATCCCTTACAAACTAAGTTGTCACCATTTCTTACCTGAAGAGGTGATTATTAAAACGCGCGCAAACAGCATGTTAATAGAGAGTTTTAGAGTAGCGCACGCTAAAGCTTTGCGTACGTAAAGAATAGCGTCGTCGCCACTGCGCATGTGCCGAACGCTAAGCACATTTTGCGCTTTGCGTGCGCTACTTTAGCGTACGCTATTTTTTGGAAATTACGTGCGTACGCAAGTAGCTTTTGTGCTCCTCCAAGGAGGATTCGTGATGAGAAGCTGGTTAAAGCCAAGACGAGCACAGTTAAAAAATGGCGGCCCCCAGAACGATGGCTGCGGCCGCTTTGGCGGCGTCGCGTGGGCGACGTCGGCGGCATTCTCGCGACTGCGATTTTCATTACGAGACGGCATTGCACTGTTTGGAAAACCCAGTAAGGCGGGCAAGGATCACCGGTAACTTGATGCTTGCGTTGCGCGAACATTTATCCGCGAAGGTTAGTACACGAGACCTGTCTGCCGAGGCGACGCATGTGGACACGATCGGTCGACCGCTCGCGTCGCATTCTCACGTTTGAATAAACGCAAAATAGTACCCTGAACCAAAAAAACTTGTTTTTTTTTCTCAAGTTACAGAATTTCGTGTGTGAAATCAAAATCGTGACTGTATCTTGGGGGCGTTGCAAGCGCGAGGTGCTTGGGCTTTTGTGTCGCGGCGGAGAAACGCTAATCTAAAATGCTCTTGTGTCGTGTGCGCTAACGCAAGCCCTAAATATAGCGCTAGCGTGCACTAAAATTGCGTACGTTATTTTAAAACTCCCTAGTATTACCAGAAAAAGCGCACCAGCCGCTGCAGCACAAAACCAAAACAAAAAGCAACGATAAAAAATGACCGTGAAACACTTTCCGAACTTTACAGGAAAGATGGGGTCGTCATCCCAGACGAAAATAAAAAGAAATGTGGTTCAGTCGCGAACAATGGCGAATAAAACAAAGAAATTAGCAGACTATACAAAGATACAAGTCACCCAACAAAGAAACTCCTTCAACAACAACGATAGTCCCTCATGTGATGGTCGCCGTCGGTGTTGAGTCCAGAACAAAGAGCAAGCAACACGACGAAACTAATCGAAAAAAAAAAGAGCCTCACTTTTTTTTCTTCAGCTGCTTGTTGCACGTTTGTTTATTTGCTTTCGCGGCGTTGGTAGGAACTAAAAACAAAAAAGGGGAAGGAATACCGTAGTCCAGCTCACACTGCCCATATAATGAGAGTCGCACGCTGCAAGAGTCGCACGCTGCAATCTGGTATGTCGAAGCAGTGTGTGACCTTTTTCGCTTTCGCATTTCTTTTCCCAGTGACTTTGGCAGGTTTTTCGTTTGCTCGCTTGACGAACCAGTTAAAAAATGAAAGCCGTTCACAACTCCCTGTAACGCCGAATTAGAGCGCAGCTCTTGAGGAGGGGGAGGCAAGGGTACTGAGGGGAGGGTATACCCCTCCTCCCTCCTCCTCACCTCCTCATCCTGCCTGCGTCGCCGTCGCCGTCGGCGTAACCGTGAGGTCACGTGGCCCTCGTGACGTCGCGTGACCCTCGTGACCTCACGGAGGTCCCGTGACGTCACATGACCCCGCACGGACGTTTCGGTACGGTGCCGAACGTCACCATGCGGTAACGTCCCCGTGGTTATGCCGACGGCGACGCCGCTCAAGCCAGAAAGGGCGCCTAATGGTACGTTTACACTCGCGGATTCGCCAGCGAATTCGCCCAGCTTTTGCCGCTGGCGCGAAACGCTGGGAGGAGAACGCGGCTGCGAGCCGTATAGGTCCGGGATCTATTTCTGCCGCCGAATGAGGCGTTTCGCTGACCGGAAGTGACATTCTTGCACAGCGCGACGCTGCCTACTTCATGAGTAGGCGTTCTTCCGGGAACAGTAACGTCTGGGAGAGACAGTCGAGGTGGGAACTCTCGCGCCTTCTCGTCATATTTGACAGGATGTTACGAGAACAGCTGCCGAAGCCGGCGTCGCCACCGCCGCTCGAAGGAAACAGATGTAAACGCAACCCGGTCGTCGCCGCCACCGCCAGGAGCGCATCCGCTCCCGCGGGAGCGGATTTGTTCTCAGGTGTAAACGTACCATAAGTAGGGATGCCGCGAACCGCCCCAGGTTCGATTTCGAAAGGTTTCGATATTTGAGAAGCGAACTGAAGTTCGATTTCGAAAAATTTCGATATTTTCGTATTGACCGAGGTTCGAATTGGAAAAATCGCAACTTTCGATCACAGTGAAGTTTCGAATTCGAAAGTTCGAAACTTTCACGGTTTCTAAAATTTCGGATTCGAATATTTCGAATATTTGTTTACTTCAGGTTCGATAAATTCGAAGATTTCAAAATTCTTTGGAAATAAAATTTGAAAACCTCGAACGCTTCGAATTTTTATAGACATGAAGTTCGAACAATTCGAAGATTTCGAATTTCTTTCTGCATAAAGTTCGAAAAGTTCGAAGGTTTCGATTTTCTTTTAACGCTAAATTCGAAAAAAAACAAACAAAAAAAACTTCGAAGATTTTGAATTCTTTTTTAGTCCAAGTTTTCAAAGTTCGAAGTCCGGTTTTCAAATTCCTCCACAGTTTGTTTCAAATAACGTTTTCACGACTCACTGGTTTCCACAAAGTCAAGTTTAGAAAAGTTAGGGTGTGATATCTAGATTCTGCGAAGTTGGTCAGGCAATTAAATGAGACGACGAGTGTCCCGGATGTGCTGGAATATTTGCCAGTGCAGAGTGACGTGTGACCATAGATCAGTAATTGGTACCGCCAGCCCGGGGGGGGGAGGGTCTTTAACCTGCATCACGCAGTAGTGATCACACGAACACACTGTTTTACGAGACTCATCCAGTTCGAAACGGCCAGGGGCGAGCAGGAGGTTGAGGCTCAGAAAAACCTTGAAGCGACCTGGCAAACCACCTCGCCACCCCACCTCGCCACCCCACCTCGCCACGCTGCTAATAATTCGATCGAACGCCGCCCGATTGACGCTGGCATATAGTCAGTTAAGTTTGTAATTGTCCTGGGGGTTTATTTTCTGGGACGGAGGAATCGCCTCGCCAAAGCCGACACAACTCGAGGTCGAGGAGCGTTCAACCATACAAGTGGCGTCGGAAGAGGAAAAACGGAGGGAAAGAGGGTAGCGGGGGGGGGGGGGGGGGGGGGGGCTTCAGTTTTCTTTTTCCCCCTTCCAGATATTTCGGACTGTTAAAGGAAACAATACGGGAAAGAGGGCGTGGTCGAGCTTATTTTAATCTGAAATTATTTATGCATATATATCGCTACTGTCGCTCTTCACTGCATAAAAGATTGCGTAGATGGTCATTGTTAGAAACTCGTTGTCAGAAGGCACTACTCGTCACATGCTTAGTGGTTCGGAAGTTCAAAGCTATGTCTTTTCGACCGAAATACTTGTGCCAATAGTAAAAAAAAAAAAAAATAAATAAATAAATGCAAGGATAAAAAGCTGGAAAAAAAAAACTATCAAGAATTTGCCGGAAGTGTTGTATTCTTGTATATTCAGAGGTTCAGAACTTCGAAACAAGTTTCTTTTACCAAAATGTGTACAGGCTAAAAGAAACACGTCCCAGGAACGTGAAGCGAAAAAAAAAAAAGTTTTCTTTTAATGACGTGCTGAACTTGAACACTATTAGAAATCTTCTCAAATAAGTTAATTTATTCCTTAACGTGAAAAAAACAATAAATACATTATTTTGTATTCTGCAGATGGCAATGATATGTACTGTATGTGGTGTTAATTTAAATGCGATACCTCAAACAACTTAGACAAAAATAGATATCAAGTTTAGGGCATAATTGCATGTAGATACATGTTTGGACATTTCTTCGAAACTCACGTTGAATAACAATAATCACCTCTTAAGACGGCACTTACCTAGGCTATACATAGATCATTCTTAAAAAAGTATAACATCTCTACCATAAATAGCTTCGGCTACAGCGCACTTCAAATCTGGCACAAACGATAATCGTCAAAAACCCGTCGTCCTTCCTCGCTTCTTCGGGAATTTATTTCTTTAAAACTAAGCATGCCAGAACATTGAAACAAACGGCATTGTCTTTCGTAAGGAATGCAGCACCGCGTGTAAAAGTTAGAGAAAAAAATATTACGAATGTACCTCACTACTTAAATTCAAATGAAGCCGTCCGCCGGTCATTTGAAGTTCGACGAACGTCGAACTTTTACCCTAAAAGGTCGAAGTTCGTCGAACTTCTGACTTTTCAGGATTCGAAAGTTCGAAGCTTTTCGAATTCTCTTGATAAATAAGTTCGAAAGTTCGAAATTCATCGAATTTTTTGGTCAGTCAAGTTCGGAAGTTCGACAAGCATCGAACTTTGAGGCGCAATAAGTTCGAGAGTTCGTAAAAGATCGAATTTTTTAGCGTAATAAGTTCGACGGTTCGAAAAACGTCGAACTTCTTAGCTTAACAAGTTTGAAAATTCGACTTCTGTCGAATTTTACGATGTAAACAAATCGAAAAATCGAAATCTTTCGAACCTTTCGAACCGCTTGATTCGATCATCGAAACTTCGATTCGAAAAAAGTTCGCGGCATCCCTAACCATAAGAGCTGCGCTCTAAAAGTACATTCATGTGTACCTTGTAGATGTACGTGTCCAGGCAAGCTTTGCACAACGCGCCTTTGTTTTGTCGATGAGCCGCCTCAAGTCCGCCTTCAGCTGAACTCTACTCTGGTGCGTCGAAAGCACGACTGATGCTACCGGCTAGGTGACGAGCTAAGTGGGAAGGTGCTGTCATTTTCGCATGCGAATATTTCCTCGCTCTTCAACGAAATGTCTTTCGAGGTGTTCCATGTTTCGGATTGCAGTTGGACTTGGCAAGCACGATGAAAGATCTGACTGGCTGCCCACCCGGCTACATGGGGCTGGGTGTTCAGTTGTACGTCTGGTCTGTCGTCCGTGAAGTTCTCCACGATCTCCATGGAGTTGTCATTATAATTTGTTGAGGCGAAGTGGTGATCTTGAAGCCAGACTTAGATAGCCCTTCCAGTTTAATTTGAATGCCGCAGTAACTCAATTACTCACGTTTGTTCGGTCTTCAGAAAACGGAAGAAAAATGAAAGCTGTTTACAACTCCCTGTAATGCCGGATTAGAGCGCAGCTCTTGAGAAGTAGGATGCAAGGGTACTGAGGGGTAGGATGGAAGGGTACTGAGGGATAGGATGGAATGGTACTGAGGGATAGGTGACTCCCTGAGGTCACGTGACCTCAGGGGGGTCACGTGACATCATAGGGTCACGTGATCTTGCGGGGTCACGTGACCTCACGTTTACGCCGACGCCGACGCCGACGGCGACGCCGCTCAAGTCGGAAACGGGCCCCTAAGAGCTACGCTCTAAAATTTTCTACCGCATGGAGAAACTTGTTTTTGCAGTGGTAGGCAGCCCATGGCATGCCTGCTATCTCCAAGTATGCGCTGGTGTATACCCGGAGGCGGCTGATTTATCAACAAACGATGACCCATAGCAGATATGCCCGCGTACACAAATACATTTTGAATAGAAATGTATACAGAGCTTACACTTTTTAATATAGCTAATAAATATCGAAACACATATATGAATATTTCGGATTAGAAACTCAATCGAAGGCGAAAATTTGAGGACATCGCAGACGACCGATAGAAAGCAAAAACAACAACAAAGTTGCAGACGGCCCTCAGTCCGAGCATAGCGTAAGCAGACGAGCAGACGAACCGGCGGTAGTAAGCGCCGAAGCGAAGGAAAGAGAGTAAAAACTAGCCAAACAAGGCAAAGCAAAATACGCGATGGTTCCAACGTCGAGTAAATAAAAATAAGAAAAAAAAAAAAGCACAACATAAAAGCAAGAGGAAGAGAGACCGCGCCGGTGTAGCGTCGACTCAAACTTAAAAAAAAGTGGAATTTGAAAAATAAAAGAAGTTGCAAATGGTCCAACGGGTACCGGCTTTTATCGTAGAAAGGTCAGAAGACGTTACCCCCCCATTCACACTGGAAGCGGATCCGCGTTCGCGAAGCGGTTGCGAAAGCGGTTGTATAAAGATCCAGTGCAATTGCACGCTCATTTGATGTCATCGTGTGCGCGTGCAATTGTACTGAATCCTTATACAACCGCGTTCGCAACCGCTTTGCGAACGCGGATCCGCTTCCAGTGTGAATGAGCCCTTAGTCGTCCCGTCGCGAATAATCGGTTTTTGCACCGTATATAACGTGACCGAAAGCACCTTTATTTGTGCTACGACGCTCTCCTCTTTTTTCTGTTGCAAGCGCGAGAAGTCTGCTTTTTCTGTAACTCCGCTTTTAATAATTTCAGTAATAGCATCAAATTTTGCATGTGCACAATCGACTTCTTCCAGAGCATACTGACATCGCAGTAACGTACCTGGTTCGAAATTGCCTTTTGCTTTTTTTTCGGAGATGATCTTAGCGGAATTAGCCAGCTCGCCTATTCGACGAAACGGTTATGAGCAAAACATGAATAAGAATTGGGAATCGCAACAACAAAAGGAACTGATTGGTAAGTACAGTAAAGTTGAAACCTTAAAATGTTCAAAAATATTTGTACATTGCCCTTTTTCAAGAAACAGCACGAAGGTACATTCGTGTTTTATTTGTTCCAGCGTGTTTTATCTGTGCAAGAAACAGCACAAAACGTAGTTAGATTTACTGTTCTCCATGGGGAACAGTAAGTTGTGACAGAGTGTTTCCTTCAGGAGAGCGCCAAAATTGCAACCTGAAAGCTCTAACATCTTTCCCACGCGAAGAAAATGTCCTTCACTCATGAGGTGGTACCTATTTTTTAACATTCAAAGCAGCGAATACTTGTGACAAATTTTTTTTATTGGTCACCTCGCACGGAGATAGGCAAAACCAATGCGTTGTGGAGAATTCGCCTGGTAGCCGAGACTCCGAGCTCTCCAGGGGCGCTGCGATCACTTTTCGCCCGCTCTCCGTGGGACGGGCCAGAATTGGCTTACATGATATTTGGTAAAACGTTTGTTTTACCAAATATTATTAAGACGTTTTTGTTGTATTTTAGGCAAGGTGAAACGCGTCGCGTCTGTGTCCGCTGCAACTATTCTTGGGTAGAAGAGCCGGCCGCGCCGAAAGAAATCGAGTGGTTGTTGGAGCATGTGAAACTAAACATTGCGATCGCACTCGCTGCGTCGTCTGTCGCACCGACTTTTTTCACACAGTCGATGCATGTGAAAGCTGGCTTAATAGTATTCGCAAGAATGTATACGGTGCAACACTGTTTCACGAAGTAGTGATCGCCATTGTTTTGTGCTTTTCTCTTAGAAAGAAAGGGCTGATACCCGAAGTACTATTGTGGTAGAAGGTTCTGTTTTGGAGCACTATAACTTACCCATAGCCTCAGAAGTCAAATGTTAAATAGCGCAGATATCGCGCTTGGGCTAGCAGTGTTGAGAAGTGTATGTATATCGAACTGGCTGGAGCTAGCCCCCCCCCCCCCCCCCCCCCCCCCCCCGTCCTCAGTATACCTGGTTTAATGCCAGAGTAGGATACCTGCGTGTTCTTCTTTAAAATATGGTCCGTGACATGTGGCGTCGCACCAAGCTACCATATCTTGCACCGGGGTGTTGCACCAAGCGACTATTGTCTTGAACAATAAATTGCATGAAGGACAGACAAGGAAAATAACAAGAAAGCGAATACAAGACTAGCACTAGTCCCGTCTCCGTCTTCTTTTTTTGTCTGTCCTTCACGCTATTTGTTTTTCATATGCTAATCTAATTAGCCCACTTTAACATTTTAGTAGAGTTGCCAGGATCGCAGAAAGCTACCGGTGTTGCACCAAGGTTTGTCAAGCTGCCAGTGTTGCACCGAGGCGTTGCACTGAGCTACGTCAGCGTCGTACTGAGCCACCCACCTTGGTCTCCTACAGTGCAGACGACCTTGGCATGCACTGCCGGATCCACCTTGCAGGAGTGGATCCTGGCGGGCAGGTTGAACGAGCGCACAGGGTTTCTGACACTGCTGAACTGCAACATGGTGTCCAGGAAGGTCACCCAGTTGTCCTCCCACTTGAGTTTGCCGTAGGGGTCTGCATTGACGGGCACGCAATTGCATCCGATCAACGAAATGGTAGAGGCTACCATTTTAAAAAGATTCGCACAAATCGAAGGAAGCATCTCGCCCTAAATGCTCCTTCACACCTTGCGACTGCTTACGACCGGGTGCGTTTCAGCCTCTTGTGATCGCTTGAGGGAACACACTGGTGCCATGGGGAACACTTGCGATTCCTGTATAGTTTATTTTTTCATGCATTATTCTCTTCTTGAAAACATTTTGACAATGTTATAAACCAGCATTTCTCGGTGATAGTGTGTACCTTTGTTCTCGCAAATACCGTAAAGCTTTCGCTCCAGTGATATGCATTTCCAGGGCCACCTCATAGATGGGGCCGGCGTCCAAGTGTGTTCTCTGTGGTAAGATATCGAGAGAGGTCGTAATGTACTCGGTCGTAAGAAGTCGCTAGTGTATAAACCAGTCGTAACAATGACCTCGAACTGGATAAGTGCCGTGCCCCTCACGCGTGCCCTAGGCACGCTTGTGGCAGCAAATCACAGCCGTGTCCAACTTACGCTGGATGTCGGCCTTCAGGATGCCCTGGAAGCTTCCGGAATACTCGTACCCCCGGAGGCGCAGCTCCTTGTAGATGTCTTCGGCGTCGAGGTCGAAGGTCACGGTCTCCGGGGGCCCGGAGGGCGCCTCGTGGTCCAGGAGCTCCTGCCCATCCTCGGCCAGGAAGATGCGGCCGCTTGCGGCCACCGTGCCGGCCTCGCACACCTCGAACTCGCCCGACACGCGCATCACGTTCACCATGAGGCGCACTGGGCCTGCGCGGCGACGAAGAATGATAAAAAAAAAAAAAAACACAAAAAATCACGGGGTGTGAGACAAAATATAATTGGCTGCGGTACTTCGCTTATGGTCACCATGGAAAGCACGAATCTTCGATAGTTAAGAAACGTTGTGCACATATTTTCATTTAGGCGTTAATGTTTCGATTATTGAACAGTTGTTTAAATCGTTCGCAGTGAAGATTCTTGTCTACTTTTTTATATAGTTGGGTATTCGCGAACTGCCGAATGATAAATTATATGTGCTCGGTTCGAACATTCCTGTCACGCTACTGCTGCGGAATGTAGGGGTGCAGAGAATTGGTCAAGCCGTCTAGAGCGTCTTTTCACTTCGGTCCCCATCGCTTTTTTGAAATGGGTATAAATCGCATCATTTATAGTGCAAGATATGTGCGTGGACAGCGTACGCATCGCAGCTGCAGCATAAAGTCTTCTCCCTGTCTTGGTCGTAAGCGGCGCCACTTCGGTAGCTGGCCACTTCCGTCAGTGGCCAGTGGTAGCCCGTCACGGGCTTGGTTTCCCACATTTCTCTACGGGAGACGCGTTTGTTTTTCAGGACGTTTTCTGGGTGGGCCATATGATGTAGAACTTGCTCCTTGTCTTACACGTGTTGATTACAAACTTTTTAGTCATAGACCCGTTTTAGTGCCTCAACGTCCACCAGAGCAGTTGAATGTTATTGCTGAACTTACGCACGCGTAGAAGTGGAGAGACCTCTGGGACTGGTGTTCGAGCCAGCGTTCACGGCGGTCCGAGCAGATGCGCCGACCAGAAAATGCATGCACTTGGGGGCCGTAAGATCGAGGTACCGAAGTACTTTTGTTTTCTTTGTTTCGTTTTTTATCAATTCCGTCGTCTGGCCGGTGGAGACATTTCAAGCATAGGCTGCGAAAGCACGTGCCAATTAGGGGTATTCACTGGACGCCATATTTGAGGACGATGTTTAGAGCACATGGTCAGAACGCGCTCGCATTAATATGCTGCTAAGACCGACAGTCTCGATGGTGCGGAATGCACGTTGCAAAAGAACTGTGGAAGCTCGCCGTGAGCACGCACTCAGCAGTCGCACACACAACTATGGCCGCCTGTGAATACTCCCTATTGGACAATCTGGTGGATTGTGTCCCAGCATTCGCCGTCATGTGTGTCCTCAACAAAATAGTATATTTCACCAATCAGACCACCGTATGCAGAATTACAATGTAGAAAAACGGGAACATTTTTTTTTCATTGCCACACTGGAATTAACCATGCGACGTGCAAAATAGGACGGGCTGAGTCACATAGGACCGAAAGATGTAAACAACCCAATTTCCACGAGCACCCATGTTTCGAAAATTTTGCAACTTCTGAATATTGCAAAAAAAATTGTTTGCACGAATTTATGAGCCCCATCTAATGAATACGTAGCATATCACTGTAAATTGGGAAATTTTGTGCAATAAAAAAAAAATCCTGGAACCCAAACTTCTGGAAATTTGTGAAATACCGTATTTTCGCGATTCTAAGCACCCCCCGATTCTAAGCACCCACCCCCCCCCCCAACCCACATACACACACACACACACACACACACACACTTTAAAACATAAACACCTGAAAAAAAGTTTGCATGCGAATGTAAGCACCGCCCTCCCAACAAGAAATTTGAGATCGGAGACGCCTGTATCGCCGAGCGCCGGAGTCGCGCACGGCCGCTGGCGCTTGGTTTCAACGTCAGTTAATAGATGGCAGCACATACCGCCATTTTCCACTTTCGCATTCCTGCAGGTGTCGAAAGGGGGTGCGTTGCCATACCCTCTATCGAAGTTGTTTTGTCTGTTGGGTCTCCTGGTGCTTGTTGCAGTCGGTTGTTTAGTCTGTTAAGCGCGAAACACATGTACGACGAAACCGTCCGATCCGACGTGCGGACTGCCGGAATGACCTTGGGGGGAGAGGGTTTTCGTAGCATCGGAGAGCGTTGAAAACCCTCGCCTCCGACCGTCGTATTGCGCGGTCGGACGTCGGATCGGACGGTTTCGTCGTACATGTGTTTCGCGCAGCATCGGAGAGCGTTGAAAACCCTCGCCTCCGACCGTCGTATTGCGCGGTCGGACGTCGGATCGGACGATCTCGTCGTACATGTGTTTCGCGCTTTAAGCGCGAAACACATGTACGACGATACCGTCCGATCCGACGTCCGACCGCGCAATACGACGGTCGGAGGCGAGGGTTTTCAACGCTCTCCGATGCTACGAAAACCCTCTCCCCCCAAGGTCATTCCGGCAGTCCGCACGTCGGATCGGAAGGTTTCGTCGTACATGTGTTTCGCGCTTTAAGCCTATTCGTCCGCGTTGGCCTCGCGATTGTATTTCGTTCACCGTGTGCACGTGGTTTGCGGAAGTCGTCCATCATGAGTGCGAAGAGAACTTCATACACGATGAAGTTCAAGAGAACGGTTATTTCTTACGCGGAAGACTACGGAAATCACGGCGCTGCTGAACCGTTCGGAGTGCGGCGTTCCGCGCAAGCCGAGGCTGGGTGGAGAGGATCATGAAGAGGACCGGTTTCTCTTTGAGACGCCGCATCACTATCTGCCAGAAGCTACCGGTGGACTTCGAGGACAAGCTTGTCGACTTCCAACGTTATGTGATGAACCTGCGTCGCGGATCTCGCTACGGACTCGGGCAGATCGGCAATGCCGATGAGACCCCTGTGTACATCGACATGCCAAGGACGTGCATTATGAACGAAGTAGGCGCCCAAGAAGTAAAAGTGCGTACGACTGGCTATGAGAAGCAAAGGGTGACCGTAATGCTGTGCATCAAAGCCGACGGTCGGAAACTTGCGCCCTATACATCATCCTCAAAAGACCAGTCGCGACAGCGACTAGTCGACCGTGGTGCAAACTTATGACAAGCGGGCTACTCTCCAGTCTTTTCTTTATTTATTTCCTTTAGAACATTTATTCTTTCATTTTGATTATAATAAATTCATATTTCTTGTGCAAATTTCGTATTTTCGGGGCATGTTCCGAATCTAAGCACCCCCCCTCTTTGAACATCGCGGGTGTGAAAAAAAGGGGGTGCTTAGAATCGAGTAAAATAATGTTTTTCAGTGACCAAGCCATTTAGGACATAGCGGAGAGTGCCACAGTTGAATCCTGGTGCAACGAAATTGACGGAACACGCGAAAGGGAAACTTGATTTTACATCACTGTTCCGTTCTAACACTCTTGGCGGTATCCGCGCATAAAAAGGCATAGGACGAAAGCTTACGAATGTTGCGAGCACATATTTCGGCAGATGTTTCGAGCAGAAACCGGTGTTGTATCGCGTCGTGGACGCACCGCTCTTGGGAAGGATGGTGGCCCTGTGCAGGGTGACGTCCTCGAAGATGACCGGCACCTGGGTGTAAGGCTTGCCCGACCGTTGGGCCAGGAACTTCCAGGCGAGCACCATGTACCCCGTGGCCGGGAACAGCACCCGCCCGTCGACCTGGTGCCCCGCCAGGTAGCCGTCGTTCTCCCCGGCCTCCAGGTCAAACACCTCCACTTCCTGGAAGACGTGTGGGACGGGAAGGACAAAATCAGTTTCAACCCGCAAGCGAAATCTACATGACACAATCCGAGAAAATGGCTGGCGAATCGCGGCCGGTCAGAAGGCGACGGATGCATTTGGAAAGGACCGTGTAGGCTGTGCAGTTTTCGGACCGCTTACGAGAGGACAGTCTGGTGCATTCCGTCGGGCTTGGCATACTCGCGATTGGCGCATAGTTGCGGTTACAGCGTTACAGCGATTAAGGTTACGGTTACAGCGTCCTGTAGACATCGGTTTCGTTTCGGTTTTTCACGGTTTTAATGTTAACGGTCTCGGTTACGCGGTTACACGTTCCTGAAAACCGTTTTCTTTTCGGTTTCTTTAATGATTTGCTTTGCTGCAATGATAGACAGCCGTTTTATAATGAACGGTTTAAGGTAGTCACAGATATCCATCAACGGGACATTCACATTAAGAACTCAAAAAACGTTTTAGAACTTCTAATTGGACAAAAGGTGCACACATTTCAAGCCCTAACACTTGTTCACAACATCTATTTACATTATATAGTTTGATACCCACGCATACATGTTACCCCCGCTACTCGAGGATTCATCGCATTCTGTATATTAAAAAAAGAAATAAACATGGCCGTTTTGTTATTCGGCAGCGTTCGTAAACAACCGTCAGAGAGTTCGCACTGGGTGCTGGAAGGACCATTCGCACCCTCTCGTCGCTTTAGTTTGTTCCAGTCTAAGATTTATGTTATCTCTGCATTGCTGTTAATCATTTTCTCATAATATTGCAGTATATAATGGCATGTTGCACCTGTTTGACTTGGTTATTTCGCTGTTATTAGTTTTCTCATATTATTGCAGTATACATTGGCATGTTTCTCCTGCTTGCCTTGTTATTTGTTGTTGTTCTGCTGTACGTTTGCTTTTGTAAATTTCTTTTGCCCCCCCCCCTCTACTGTAATGCCCATCGGACAATGTAGGTACCAAATAAATAAATAAATCAATCAATAAAGAAGAGGCATCGCTCACACTGAAGGAACGAGCAGAATTATGGCCCTCCCCAAGTAAAATACTGCTAAGTGGAATAAAGTAATAAAATTAGGAGCTGGACTAGTTGGTGAAAGTGAATCATATTGCAAATGTAATAGCACAAATCAAGGAAGACTAAGGAGAGGAGCTAACAACACAGAAAGGTGTAAAAAAATGAAAGCCGCTTACAACTCCCTGTAACGCCGAATTAGAGTGCAGCTCTTGAGGAGGAGGAGGGAAGGGCACTGGGGGGGGGGTTAAACTAACCAGGGGGGGGTTCACGTGACCTTGGGGTTCACGTGACCTTGGGGGTCACGTGACCCCCAATGCCGATGATGTCATTACTGACGTCACTGATGACGTCATCAGTGACGATGACGATGCGGGTACCGATGACGTCATTAGGGACGTCACTGATGACTTCACCAGTGATGATGACGATGACGATGCGAATGTCGGTGACGTCATCAGTGACGTCCCTGATGACGTCATCAGTGATGATGACGATGACGATGCGGATGCCGGTGACGACATCAGTGACGTCACTGATGACGTCATCAGTGATGATGACGATGACGATGTGGATGCCGGTGACGTCATCAGTGATGATGACGATGACGATGTGGATGGCGGTGACGTCATCAGTGATGATGACGATGACGATGTGGATGCCGGTGACGTCATAAGTGAGGATGACGATGACGATGTGGATGCCGGTGACGTCATCAGTGATGATGACAATGACGATGCGGATGCCGGTGACGTCATCAGTGATGATGACGATGACGATGCGGATGCCGGTGACGTCATCAGTGATGATGACGATGACGATGTGGATGGCGGTGACGTCATCAGTGATGACGACGATGACGATGTTAATGCCGGTGACGTCATCAGTGATGATGACGATGACGATGTGGATGCCGGTGACGTCATCAATGATGATGACGATGACGATGTGGATGCCGGTGACGTCATCAGTGATGATGACGATGACGATGCGGATGCCGGTGACGTCATCAGTGATGATGACGATGACGATGTGGATGGCGGTGACGTCATCAGTGATGATGACGATGACGATGTGGATGCCGGTGGTCATCAATCATGATGACAATGACGATGTGGATGCCGGTGACGTCATCAGTGACGATGACGTCATCGGGGGGTCACGCGACATCGGCGGGGGTCACGTGACCTCGGGGGGTCACGTGACCTCGAGGAGGGGGTCACGTGACCTCAGGGGAGTCACGTGACCCCGGTGGGGGGCTCGCGCGGTGCATTATGGGACATTTCCCATGATGCACCGCGCGATTACGCCGACGGCGACGGCGACGCCGCTCAAGCCGGAAACGGGCCCCTAAGAGCTGCGCTCTAATATGTCCTGTGTTGTTTGCTCCTTTCCCTAGTTTTCGCCTGTGAAATAACTCGACATTAACTCTCAGCGCGTTCACATCTTTATTTTATTTTTCGCTATTTTCCTTCCCCCTTTCATTTATCCCCCTTTCTTTCCTTTCTCTCTACTTTCTTTCACGGGGAACCAGTTCAGCATTCCCGCTAGAACAAACTCCCCTGCTTCTCTCACGTCGCCATCTGTCTCTCTCTCCCTAGTCTTCGCTATTGTGGACTATTACACCTACGTCATCTTTGCCATTTTTAAGCAAATGCATGTGGTAATAGAACAGCACATTTTTCGCAGTCCGATCCTGTGACGTTAGAAAAATTGAGGCGGAACTTCTACAGATATGTTGCACCTATTACTTCATCTCATCCCGCGATGAACTAAAGACCAAAGCCACGGGCCGCCAGGTCCATTCACGTTCCACGCTAAACTATGACACGCGTAGCATTGGTGAGCTTTGGACGAATAATGCTCCGTATCCAAAAACGCTGCGTCATTTTTATAGCCTCGACACTGCGAAGAGCCAGTTCACTGCGAAAATGCCCAAAGGCCGCAAGGCGGCGGTACTGGGACTGGGTGCAGGGTTTGCGCAGAAGCGCAAGCGTGTCGGAGAGGGAGCGGACGCGCTGTGGCGTATGAGAAATAGTGGATTCGTTAGTGTCAAGGGCGAACCCTAGAAACTTTATGTGCCGCGAAGGCATCAAGAGAGTGTCCTTAGGATTGATGACAAAACCACAGTCCTCAAGTTGCTGGAAAAAAAGATCGGTGTTATGTTGGAGGAAGGAGGGGTCTGGGTGTGCGAGTAAGAAATTACCGATGTACGCCCACGCCCAGATCCCGCGAGAACGAAGTGTGCGAGCAATGGCCGTTGCCAGTGTCTGCATTAAGTAAGGCGCTTGCCTAAGGCCAAACGGTAGACGAGTGAATGCATAGTAGGCTCCGTCCAGCCGAAAAGTCGTAAGACGTTGGGCGGAAGGAGGAAGTGTGATGTGATAAACGGCCTCCGCCAGGTCCACCTTAGTAAAGTATGCATTTTGTGGTAGGGGGACCTGGAGGAGGACTTTCGGGAGGGGGTCAAGTCTGAAGGGGGGGGGGGGGGGCACGAAGGTGGGGGGTCAAGTGGGTAGCGTCGAGAATGAATCTGGACTCCGTAGAGGACTTGGGTGCTCGCTGCACTGGACTCAGGAATGGGCCGCGGCCTGTGACTTTAAGTAGTCCTGAAGCGAGCATGGAAGAGACAACTTCGCGTAAAACGGGGAGCTGATCTGCAGGGGGGGGGGGGGGGGGGGGGGTCGGTTGTTAACAACCGAGCGAGCATTGTATGATACTCTAAGGTTGCCGTAGTCGGCAGGAGGGTAGAAGTGGAAAACCGTGGCGGTGCGGTCGCAGTCTACTAATGGGGGAGGTGCGCTGGGCGAACACTTATAAGACTGTAAGATCTCGGCGTGGGCGTACATCGATAATTTGTTACTCGCATACCCAGACCCCTCCTTCCTCCAACATAACACCGATCTTTTTGTCCAGCAACTTGAGGCTTGTGGTTTTGTCATTAATCCTAAGGACACTCTCTTGATGCCTTCGCGGAACATAAAGTTTCTAGAGTTCGCCCTTGACACTAACGAATTCACTATTTCTCATACGCCACAGCGCGTCCGCTCCCTCTCCGACACGCTTGCGCTTCTGCGCAAACCCAGCACCCAGTCCCAGTACCGCCGCTTTGCCGGCCTTTGGGCATTTTATTTTTCTTTGTACCAAACAGGCTATAGTGCCTTGCGACCGCTCTTTGAGGCTGTCTTTTCCTCAACCCCCCCCCCCCCCCCCTATCCAGTGGATCGTCACCTTCCAGGCCCTCTAGAACGCCATGCCTTACACCCTTTCCCTTGTCCCCACATCTCCTGTTTCGGTCATGTGTGCGGACGCATCCAACTGCGGCTTTGGAGTGGTCAACCCTCGGCAGCACTGGCTGTACTGACTCTTCCCGACGGCCGCATTTATCTTCGTGACGCCATCGCATGGACGCTGGCCGTCCTCATCGCAAAGACCCCGACGCTGATCTTCACTGACAACCTGGCCCTCCGTCAGGCCATCACCTGAGGCCACCTTCGTGCCCTGCCTTGGACTTTGTCCCTCGCCATGACCTTTCTTGCAATAAAGAAAAACCTTCGGGCCAAGTGGTTTCCGACTGCGCACAACCCTGCCGACATGCCCTCACGCCTAACGCACATCATTTCCGCCAACTCTCCTTCGGGATTGACTGAGGACCTGCCGGCAGGGGGAGAGAGGGAAGCGCCTATATAAACTGTGGCCTTCCTCCTCACCGCCAGTCCAGTGTCATCAGGAGGCACAGACTCAGTGCTCTCCGACCAAGGTTCCAAAACGACGTCCATGATGTATTCGCATACATCAACGCTAGGTGAAGCATTACCCTGAAGCTTTGAGGCGTAGGTCACGACACATTCCTCAATGGAATGGCCGAACCGCCAGCACTGAGTGCAACGTGGGATAGAGCAGTGCCTACGGATGTGGCCTACTGCTTTGCAGCGTAGGCAGACGGGAGGTCGACCGGGAAT